GAATTCGGTGGGCTAAGGGGCATCGCTTCCTTACACAGTGCAGTGAAACATAACAGTGCTGCACCTCTGTGTGCGGGGCTGCAGAGATCTGAGCTGCAGCTTTCTCCCTTTGCTCCTTCCCGCGTCCTGACAGTCACAGCCATCCTCTGCACTGCCTCTGCGGGAACACGGCAGGAGGAGCAGCAGATGAAGCTGGGGAAGAAGAGGAACCACCCGGGACTTTGACAAGACAGGAATTTCACCCTTATGTGACACAAAAGCTCTTCTAAGACAGATGTTGTTAATGAAGCTCCACACATTGCTTAATCCGTCTGGTTCTCGTAATGAGTTTTGCTAAAGTCTCAAATGAAGGAGATGTCAGGAAAGCACACGTGGGGACTGTGAGCAACACAGTGCCAACGGGAGCCCAGCAGTGTGCCATCATACAGCACTGCTTTGCCATCCCCACGTGTTGGTTTTTTTTGCTTCGGGAAGAGGAAATGGAGGAAATGCCTTTTTGCTGAGCGCTGCACATCGCCAGAAATGCTCGTTTGAATCCACACCTGCAGTGCTGACTCGGAGGTGAAGTGCTGCTGAGCTCACTTAGAGCACATTGTCTGCCCAGCAATCAGATGGCAGCAACCAAAGCATCCGGAGCTTCTCAGCCTCTCTGCAAGGCCGCCGCACTTCAGCACCGACACATCGGCTCCAGCGATCCACGCAGTGAAGCACTCCCAGCAGCAGCGCTGCTCCGTGCTCAGAGCTCCTGTGCGCACCGATGCGGGGATGCTGGTGGCAGCGCTGCTCACGGGGACAGTTACCCACCTCACCGACAGATGGAGTCTGGCAATCAGCTGTCAAAGTACGTGCTGAAAGTCGGAGCTGATTTCAGTCCTGCATTCAGTGTGCTCGCAAGAAATGCAAACTTGTGACACGTGGGGGGAAAGGAAAAAGCAGCATTACGCTGCTGCAGTTGGAAAGCAGCCTCAGAGCACTTGAGGTATATACTTCTAGAAGTACAGCCACACAAAGCCGAAGAGCTTACAAAGTCACTGTGCTCTACATACAGCACTCACAACTCTATACCTGAGCCTATAGAACACTTTCAACTCCACAGCTGTGCTCCTATCATTTAAGAAGAGGAAGAAAGTCTGGAATGAGTCACAGCAACACAGAGCACAACACAGAGCTCCAGGAGACCCAGCCCAGGAACATCATCTTTTCCACAGGGCAATAACCCAAATGCAGCAGCACTGCTCTCAGTGCTCAGCCACAGCCACCCCTGGCACAGCACGGCACAGCCAGGAGCACTGCTGGAGGGGCTGCTCTGCACACACTGCAGTGCCCCACACCCAGAGCCCTCCCCCTGCACTGGCTGGGCAGTCAGCCCACCCTCAGAACTCCTTCCTATCCATACGTCATTGAAATCACTCCCACCAAAACCCAGCCGACCTTCCTGGCCAGCCCTGTTACCTGCACCACCCCGAAATCAGCCTTCAGTGCCCCACTCAGCCCCACTTAAAGCCCCTCTCCCATCTTCCTCAGGGGCTGAAGCTCTATTTAAGCCATTTAAGATAAAGCTCTATATTTAAGATAAAGATCTATACCTTATGAGCTTTGTTGTGGGGGTGCTTCAGCTCTCACTTCTGGCTGTGAAGGAGAGGTTGGGAAGCAGTGCTGGGGCCTGAGCCATTGCCTTGCCTTGGGGAGCTGCCCCTGGGCTGCACTTTGCTGCTGGGGTCACTGCTCAGCCCCACATCGCTGCTCCCCAGCAGCTGCTCCTCAGTCTGTGCCACTCAGCTGCATTTTTGTACCTGCTGACAACTCACAGATGTGTATAACCCCATTTGGACATTTTCCCTTCTGTCTGAACCCAAATCCAAGCCAGGCTCTCCCTGACTGCCCCACCATCGGTGTGCACAGAGCACCTTTCCCTGCAGCACTGCATCGAAACCAAACACATCAAAATTCATCTTTCATTTAAACAGTTGCTTCAGATTCTGAAGGGCTCCAAACGCTTTGATGGGCAGAACGGTGCAGACTCTGTTTGTTGGTTTAAATGTCAGAATGTCTCAGCAATAATGCACTGCACAACACTACGGTTCTAAAAATATTGTGTTTGGGCTTCTTATGCTTTATAGCAGAAAATGAAGGGAAATAAATACAACCGGAAAATCCTTTGCCAGGCAGGATATCTGCAGTAAAGTCAAACAAAAATCAGGCACATAACGTGCATTTCATCAGGAAAAAGCCATTCTGCTTCGTGAAACCACTGAAGGGATGTCTGTGACCTGCCTGCAAATGCTGCGGGAGAGCACAGAGCCTGGGAAGCTTTAGAACAGCTCTTAGCATGCAGCGCAGGGAGAGGGCTGTGCCAGGCAACGGCCGGGGGAATTTCAGGTACTTGTAAGTCAGAATGCATATTCTTGAAAGACAATCAGCCTTTTAGGAACTTCACTGCCTTGCTGTTCATCGCTCTATGCGCCCTAGATCCATACAAAGAAATGATAACGTGTGTTTTCCCCCTTGACCTGTCCAGCCCTGGAGCCACAGCAGCCCAAGGCATCGGATCCTCCCTGCTCCTCTGTACCCCTGCGCAGTGCGTGATCATTTCCAGCTCTGTGCCACAGACAGCAGTGACTTCTGCTTCCAAAACTGTGAGGAGCACAGTTTCTGCTCACTGCAGCACTGATCGGCAGAAGAGGAGGAGAGAGGTGGTACTCTTAGGTTACTGGGGGTCAGGCCTTAATTAAGAGATAGGGCATGCACGAGACAGCACCAGCACAGACGGAAGGAGCACCTCCTTAGCTTATGAGGTTCCCTGGAATGGCGGCACTGTCTGCAGGGTCCCGCAGAGCCCCACGGGGTCTCAGGCTGCAGCCCGTGCTGCCCTGCTTTTACCACTCAGTCCCGACCTTGGAAAACATTAGAATGCCTTCCAGAAAAAAACATAACTTGGTGTTATCAACTTTCTCCATAATTTTGACTTCCTGCTCACGCAGATAGAGGATGGATTCAGTGAAATTCATTCTTCTGTGTAACTCACAAAACACCCCTGGAATCTCAGCTGTGCACTGGGCAGCCCTCGAGGAGCAGCTCCACGAGCCGTTCGCACAGCTGCACTCCTGGCCTCCACGGCACGGCAGTGCTGACGCACAATTACAGCACACAAGGAGGGCAGACAGCACGCCTCCCTCCTTACCCCGCTGCCTGCAGGTTTCACCCACTGCTCGTTAGCTGTGCGGGAGGAATAACCTCTGCTATTCATCCCCTCCACATCACTCACCGCTCCCAGTGCCTCTTTGCAGCTCGCTGCCTTTCCTGGGCTCCCCTGCAGTCCCTTTGATCGCCCCTCAGTTCATGACCTCGTTAGGAGCTCCTGATGAGAACCGCGGCGCTCAGGAAGCAGCACGGTGCAGATCCGCAACTGACAGAACCTTCCCCTCATTCTTCATTTCCAGCCTACCCCTTCCTACCCCTTTCATTTCTCTTTCCCCACTTGTTTTCTGCCTACAGTGCCCACGCAGACACAGAGGCGCCATCAGAGGCTGTTTCTCCTCTGACACTGCCTCACACCGACCACAACGGAGTTCCTTTGCTGCTGCTCGGTTTCCCCACGTCCTGCAGTTCCGTAACCCTTTTTACTCAGCTTCATTTTTTATTATTCTGAAAAACAACACCTGATTCCCACAGACGGTGCTGCCCTGCTACTCATAGTTTCCTTTTTCCTCCTCCCCTCCAATCACTACGAGATAAAAAAGAACACAACCCTGTGTCCCTGTTGAACAAGCTCCTACTCCATTCTCGCCAGCTTCCACCCTCAACCCGCAGGCAGACTTCTCCTTTAGAGCTTAATCGTTTGGGAAATCTTTCCAAGGAGCTCAAGAAAACTTTCTTGAGTTCAAGCAGGTTGTGACAATCAAATAAACGTCAGCAATTATGTCTGAGCCCTGCGGAACTCTGACCAGGTCCCGCCGAAGGCTGCGCCCGCCCTCCCCAAACACCGCGCCTGACAGCCGCGCAGCGCGGGCTGTTTCTCCTCGGCTGCTTCTCTTCTGCCGAGCCGGTCAGGCTGGGAGGCGATCAGCGGCAACTGAACGCGTGCGAGCACCTTTCGTGCCTCCAGCAGCTCTGTCTTCACGTTTTGCTCTGCCACGCGGCAGCTCTGCATTTAACCCGACAGGTCGCTTTTCGCATTTTGCTTGGACACAACTCGGGTTTCTTAGGACGGCTCCTCGTCCCGTGCAGCTCTGCGTGAGCGCAGCGCTCCTTCCGAGCTCCTCCATCGCCGCGGCGCTGACCCGCAGCCCCGGGCCGAGCGCCAGGGCCGTTCCGTCCCCCAGAGCCAAACGCCATCGACTGACGCAGACGCAGAGCGCAGCGCCCCCTGCAGGACGCACCGCCGAACTGCACGCAGCGCCGCGGGACGGCAGCGCCGCGCGGCTCCCGGCGGGAGGTGCGGGAAGGTGCGCGTGGCGCGGCGGCGTTCCCGCAGCTGGCGCAGCCGCGCGGTGCAGCCACAGAAAGCAATTCCTGAGTTCCTTTCCTCCTTCGCAGCTCGCAACCCGGCGTGCCGCTGTTCCCCGCGGGGACTCCGCTCCGCGCTGCCGCGTGCCGGCATCGACCGAGCGCCCCGCGCCGCCCCGGTACCGCCGTCAGTGCGCCTGGGCGGGGCTGCGGCTGGAAGCCGGGGCCGGGCTTCCGACACGTGCCCACCCTGCGCCGTGGGACGCAGCTGCCGTGGTGGCACGGGAAGGGAATGGGGCAACTCGGTAACAACGAGCGCGCTCTGAGCGTTTGTCGGAGCGTTTATCCGAGCGTTTATCCGAGCGCTCAGTGCACACCGCGGCGCTGACCGCTCCCGGACCGCCCGCCAGGCGGCGCTGTGGGAGCGGGGCACGACGGACCCGGGCGGCGGCGCGCGGCGCTCCCGCGAGATTTGGCAGCGTGCCGTCTCGCGAGAGGCGGGCGGCGGAAGGGGCGGGGCGGCGGCCGGCCGGGAGGAGGGCGGCGCGCCGCCAGCGCGGCTCTGCGGCCTGTGCGCGTCCGCCGCCCGCAGCCGTCAGCCCGCCGCCGATCCCCGCCGCCCTTTGTCTGCGCGGCTCCTCTGAGGCGCGGGCGGAGGCGGGGAGCGGGTGCGGCCCCCGCCCGGCGGCCTCCCCCATGGTGGGCTTCGGGGCCAACCGGAGGGGCGGCCGCCTGCCCTCCTTCCTGCTGGCCGCGCTGCTGCTCGTCATCGCCGTCCTCGCCTTCAACTGCTGGAACGCGGCGTCCCGCCAGGCCGTGCTGCGGGAGGAGCTGGCCGAGCTGCAGAGCCAGGCCAAGCGCACCGAGGTGGCCCGGGGGCGGCTGGAGAAGCGCAACTCCGACCTGCTGGGCCGGGTGGATTCGCACCGTAAGCAGCTGGAGCAGAAGGAGGCGGATTACAGCCAGCTGAGCAGCCGGCTGCAGGCCAGGGACGGGCAGGTGAAGCGCTGCGAGGACAGCAGGGTGAGCGCCGCGCTCCTGCCGCTACGTGCGCGCGTGGCGAGAGAGCGCTGCGGCTGCCGCGGGGAGGAAAGGACGTGGCGTGAGAACGAGCGCGGCGGTGTGTCTGCGTGGGAGCCCGGGGCTGAGCGTCTGCGGGGTGCGCGGTGAGGGCGGCTCTGAGTGCTGGTGAGGGGCAGCGCTGCTCTCGTTTGGAAATCCGTGCCTCTCTGTGAACGCCGGCTGTACTGAGAGCGGCGTGGTTTATAAGCAGGTATCTGACGTGGACGGGAAGGTTGGGCGGGCTGCGAGGAGCAAAGCTCAGCCGCTGGGCTGGGAGAGGTGAGGGCTGGGAGACGTGGTTCCTCTGGTAAAAGGCAGGAGGTGAGCTGTGGGTCTGTAGCCGTGCTCTGTTTGTCTCTGAGCTGGCACACAGACAGCGGGGGCAGGCAGGTTTAGCGCTGGGACTTGTGGGTGGCTCAGAGAGCAGAGGGGATGCAGTCAGAAAGGTCTGTTACCAAAACAAGCACGCGGTGTGTGTGAATTATTGCACCTAAAGACTGGGGTGTTTTCTCAGAATAGAGTTTTGTGAGGACGTTCTTGGACACACTGTTATACCAGTGATTCCAGTCCGTTTGTGAGATGGAGAGCTATAACAAAGCACTGACACCAGGTGCTCGCAACAAACCAGGCTTTGCTTTGTAGCAAATTCCATTGAGAGATGCTGTTCTGGTGGCTGTTGCTGCACTCTGTGCTCCTCTCCCAGCCCTTTGCCCTTTGCTCTGTGCTCGGCACATCAGCCACGTGTTTCCCAGTGCTGGGGGAACCAGGATGCCTGCAGATGCTCCCTCCCAGCTCAGCGATGCCCACAACAAGCCCAAAGCCTTGGCTTTATCCTCTGTGTGCATTACATGTCCCACTGTGCCCTTGTTTGCTCATGACAGATGTACGGTGGTAATTAAGTGTTCTGGTGTCTTGTTCAAAGAAACAAAACAAATAATAATAAAAGAAAAAAATGTGCACGCAGCCCGTTTACGCTCCAAGTGCAGACAGGCAGCACTTGCTGCTGGATGGCGTGTGAGCTGGGAGGATCCTGGCAGGGCAGTGCTGAGAAGCACCGAGGCACAGCAGGGAAGTGCCATGTGTGTGCAGGCTGTGAGGATGAGTCCCTGAAATACAGGTGAGCATCTTATCTTGGTATGCCAGGAGCTGGGAAGCAAGTGATGGTAAATGGGGTTCGATCCGTTCTGTAGGCTCACCACAACTACTGCCCAAATCTCACAGTGGTGGTGTTGTTCTTTGGAGGTGATTCTCTCACAAAGAAAGATCTGCTAAAGAAGGTGAAAAAACAGTTAAGAGTATCTTTATAACTACAATTTGGAAGAGAAGAGCCTTTCTGGAAGTGGAAATATACTGAAATGAAAAGGAATGTGCAGGTTTTCTTTTGTGCTGGAGGTGAGATGCGAAGAGGAGCTGTGTCAGAACACAGAGTGCTCACATCAGGCTGCTGGACCTGGGGGCGAGGCAGAGGCAGGGCTGGGAGGTGATGCACGTGCTGTGTTGGTTCCTCAGTGTTTCACACTGCTTTGCATATTGCCAGGAAACGTTTTTTCAGAGCATTATGCACCCCTTTGCAGTCAGCTCAATAGGAAGATTGAGGGGCAGGATTTTGTGGTGGAGAGCTTCCAAATGGCAGCCATGCAGTGTGGGGGGGTTCCTATCTGTGTCTGCTCTTGCAGCTCTCAGGAGTGCACCCTTTTCATTGCAGAGCTGTTGCTGACTGTGCTGGGTGTGTAATACATCTCTGTCCCTTTGTTGGTGCTTTGAAGTGCTGCTTCGTGGGGTGAAGCTGCTTGGTGAAACTCCCTTAGAAGCAGCTGGCTGTGTCCTTTTCTGCCAGAGCTCCTCAATAGCTCCTCAGTTTGCAGAGCCATAGCTCTTAGCAGTGCTGTTGAATGCAGCTTCCTAATCTTGCTTCTTGTTCCCCAGCAGCAGCACCTCCAAGGCTGCAGCACGATGGCAACACTGGCTGTTGGGGAAAGGGCACTTAATGGAGTAGGAATGTCGTGGAGTATACTCCTTTTTCCTATCAGTCTTTTAAAAGGGCTTTCATGTGCTGTTCCAGCATGTGCTATAGTGGTGAATGGAGAATGGCAGTATGGACACCTGTGTGCTGCTTTGGCAGCAGTTTGGGGGCTGGAATGACTCTGAGACGGGGGTGGGTGTTTGCAGCTCACTGCTTGTTTCATTGGGAAGCAGTTAGGGTTCTGTATTGCAATAAATACATAAAGATAAATGCAATAAATACATGAAGATAAGCTCCGGTGTGTTTGTAACTTTCTTTTAGGCTGCTTTTTGTGGGCACTTGCAGTTTAGAAGCATTGGAAGGGTTACCTTGTGTGTAACTGGCTCTGGGATTTTTGGAAATTCTGGCAAGGACGGGATTTCTGATGTTTATATTCCTGTGCAGAGCTCAGTGAACTACAGGGGATTCCTGTTATGTTTCCCAGCTGCTTTGGAAAGGATCTGGGAGGCCATGAGGAATACGGGCAGTGCAAATGGCTCTGGCTTCCAGCAGCACACGGATCTGGAAGAGCTGGATTTGTGCCATGGTTTGTGGGGTGGCTTTTTTGCATGTGGAGGTGGAACAGATCCCATGAATCATTAAATGCTTCTTCCCTTTCCGTCCCTTGGATTCGGGACGTTTGCTGTCAGCCAGGCAGTTTGGGCTATAAATTGTGTCGCTTTTCTCTGAAACTCAGAGTTGTCAAAATGAAAGATAGTGTGATAAAGCTGATCCTGTCTCCAAATCAAATTCCTGTGTGCAGAGAGGCAGTTCCTCCCCACCACTTCACAACTCAGATGTTTTATGGGGTGAGGAAGAAGCGAGCTGGCAGCCGGGCTGTCTGTGTTATGAATTCTGATAGATGAAGGTTTGAAAACAGCCCCGTGCTTTGCAGGATTTCTGCTGCTTGTAGGCTTATTGTGTTCTGGGGAAGAATTGCATTAGAGTGGATGACAGGAAAAAATTGTTAATTATTGCCAGTGGTTTTGTGGTTTTTTTTGTTTTTTTTTTTTGTTGTTTTTTACATCACCTGCTTTTGGCTTTCTCTGGAAACAGAGAAGTGCAGCTCTTTACTCAGTGCTCAGTAACCCCTGCCTGCACTGCTCCACTCTCTGGTGCTGAGCTGGCAGGACGGCGCCCATGGGGCAGAGCTCAGAGCTTGCTTTTCTGTTGGCCTTCTGCGTGCAGTCCTTGCTGCAGGCACTGCTTGTGCTGCTAAAATAGAGCACAGGAAGCCCGGAGCAAGCAAGCTCTCCTTTAATTTGGGTGTTCTCTGTCTGGAATGCTTTTGATTTTATGGTGGGCAGGGTGCATGTAACTGGTTCTCAACCGTGTGGCTGTGTAATGCCCAGAAGGCTCTTCAGGTGTCCCTGCAGGCTGTTTCTTTCAGATCCCAGCAGCCTGGTCAGACTTCAGGCTGCCGAGAGATTGCACCCTGTGATGCTGTGTTTTGGGGGAACGGCCCCATTGAGCAGCTCCCTGCCCCGTGGGCACCGCAGCCCTCGGGAGGGTGCTGGGCTGTGTGCCCTGTGCCACAGGAGGTCAGCCTGGCTCTCAGCCTGTCCGACAACACGTGTCTGCGGTGTGGCGTTACGGAAAGGAGGGTTTGGTAAAAGGGAAGCTGGGTGTTGTGGAGGAAGTGCTGTGGAAGGATGGACGTGTGTCTGTTTGGACAGACAGGCAGGCAGCTGCTTTGGGCTGACACCGTAGGGCCTGGCTGGGAATAAAAGCTGCCAGCTGTGCTCGTGCTTCTCCTTTAACAGCGGTGGAAGTGGAGGTTCTCAGGAAGCAGAGACAATGGGACTTCAAGTGGTGCCAAAGCTGTGTGTCAGAATCCTCGAGCCCAAGCTTTCTGCATGGTTTTGGTGTTACTCTGCTTTTTTTTAGATAGCTAAACGCAGTCTGAGTGTTCCAGGAGGTCATTCTGAGAGCATCTTGGTGCCAAGCTGTCTCAGCACCCTTTAGTTACCCCTCACATCAGCCCTGGACCTGCAGGATAAGTAATTGCAGCATCCATGTCGCCTGCTGATGGGATTTTGTCACTCTGTCTCACTATGCTCTATGTGTATTTTTTTCTCTTAATTTCTACTGCTTTTGTTTGTAAAAACAAGAGAGAACACCTTTGTTCCATGACTTTGTATGCGTGCATTTCGCTCTGTTGTAACTGCTATTTTTTCCTGACTGAAAGTACCCAAGGTGTAGCGGTTGTGGAGGTCTACTAGTGCCAGATTCTCTCTTAAAAGTAAAATTTGTGTTAAGAACTTAATGTAGTGTCACATTAAATATTTACTTTAAATATACAGCAGGTAAAAGTTGTTTTGCTAACGGTGCTGCTTGTTTATTTTTATATGCTTATACTTTAACTTTGGAAATCCATTGCCCCCTTTGCAGCACTGGAATGCAGGGGGCTTGGTGTAGTCCTGGCACAATCTGCTCTTTTTCATAATGAAAAAAGAACGAGTTAAGAAGCATCTGAATCTTTACAGTCTAAACCCTCTCTATTCTGCTGACGACTGCCTACAGTGATGGAACGTTTCTGCCTTTCAGGTGAAGCTGCAGAACAACATATCCTATCAGATGGCAGACATACATCGTTTGAAGGGTAAGCAGTGGCCATGCTGTACTTTGTAACTGCCCAGGTGCTGCAGAGTGTGGAATGGAAGCCCAGGCAGTGCTGGGTGTGCTGCAGAAGCTGGCATGTGGCAGTGCTTGTTGGACGTCTGCTCTGCGTCTCAGTGCAGGACTGGTGCCCACAGCCTTGGCCCTCCTGTCTGCAGCGAGGCTCCGTTCTGGCACTGCTTGCTTCCAAGATGCTGCAGTTGTTTTCATGACCAGTTCAGTACAGCTGGACCAGCAGTGCTGGGGTCCTGTAGGGCTGTCCTTGCGGGTGTTGGAAACGTGCAGTGGTTTGAGGCAAACCTGGGCCAGCTAACGCCCAAGCTTGTGCATGCCTGCAAACAGCATATTGGCCTTTCTGCCTGTCTGCATGGTTGCTGTTAATGTAGTGGGGAGTTAAAATGGTTATCTGTGTCCTGAAAAGCAGGAGAAAAACCATTAGAACAGTTGTACCAGGTTTTTTTTGAGCAGTGTGAAGATACTTTCTTTGTACATTTGTTGCTGAAGAAGGGTAAGTTAATGGTACTCCTGTGTAACTCAGAATAACAGATTCTTTTTAGGAAGTCGGGGAGGTTTCCCAGACAGGTGAGATATCACTGTGTGCCCCTACTGAATGGAAAGGTAAAGAACAATTCAGCCTTTTTTAGCACTGGTTCTGTAGTATTAGAAGAGTTGCTCTATATTTTATAATGATGTTTGGCATACTGAAGTAAGTTGGCATCTTTTTCAAGATAAAGAATCTTTATATGTAGAAGAAACAGCAAAACTTGAGCAACTTTTAAACTCACACAGCAACAGAAGTGTTGTATCTGCCATGGGGCATCTTACATTCTAATTGTATATTAATATTGACTTTTGCTCTTTGACCCAGAACAACTGGCAGAATTACGTCAGGAATTCATCCGCCAGGAAGATCAGCTTCATGAGTACAAGAAGAACAACACTTACCTTACGAGGAGGCTGGAGTACGACAGGTATGTCTGCTGGAGTGTCAGAACTGTCCGTCTGGGTGTGTGTGACAGAAGTCTGCCTTCGTTAAAAGACACAAGTGAATTGTACGTGTTAATCCTCAAACTTGAGGGTACCCATTTGATGATGCAGCTTTAACTTAAAACATTAAAATCAAACATCTAGCCATTATTTTTATGTGAAAGTCAGATATACATGTGCTGCAAAATCTGGCTTATCTGAATTGTTCCGTGTTTATAATGTTGAGATCTGAGTTAACAAGTGAACAAAGTTCTGTAAGCCACTGGAATAGTCAGTTGCTGTCTTCCTAACGGAGAAATACATCAAATTGAAGTTAAAACACTGTGTGTAATTGAGATTTCAAGTACAATAGAGAAGTGGGGAGAACTGGTATTTCTGAAGCCTGAGGAATAGGAGAGATGAACGCTGAGAAATGTTCAAAACAGTCATGTGGAAAAGCAGATATTCTGTTTGTGCTGTGTTGGGTATTTGCAGGTTTGTGCGAGATGGGAATCGTGTTGGCTTGTGTGGATCTGTGTGTGCCATGTTAGAGAGACTGGGAGACCCAGCTGTGTCATTCATGGATGTTGTTTGGGTTGGTAACAGTAACCCATAGTCCTGGTTGTGCTGCTTCTGCGTTGACAGCCATGGGAGGTGTATTGCTTTCCAAGTGGAACAAATACTTGCTGATGACAGATTAACTGGGAAGCTTAGATTTTCAGTTGCTTTCCAGGTTTTGGAGGAGCTGCATTCAAGGCACTTCTGTTATTTTACTGTCTTTGTGCTTTGTCCTTGTTTTTCCAGTTCCACTTTTTTCCTGTATTCAGTCCATTTTCACTCCACACGCATCTCATTCCAGGACAAAGGGTTTTGGACAGACTGTTCTGCTTGTAGCTCAGGTTTCGCTTTTTATGCCACTTCATTTTTTTTGTCCCTATTATATTTGTGGGAGAGCGGATATAAAAAATCCAACAAATGAAATATGACTGATCATGTATTTCTAATTAAGTCTGCAGTGTGGGCAGCAGATCAAGGAAATGAGAATGCAACATGAAGAAAGCATAAAGAAATTAATGGACCAGATTGTTCAGGAACAAAAGGTGATGCAGAGTTATACTTATTTGAAATAGAAGAACCTGAAGTCCTTTGGTTGTTGACTCAGCAGTTCAGAAATATGGAGGGTTTGCACATTTCTTCTCTGAGGGCTGGGGTGGATGTCACTGTAAGACCATCTGCCTGTTTGTTCAGCTGTTGAACCAAGCCTTGAAGATCAGGCTTAATTCTTTGGTCTGCTTTGAGTAGATTTCAGTCAGATCTTGAAGTTTAGAATTGCTTTTAAGTCTGTGACCTTAGGTGTAAGGCCAGTGGTGTCTTTACCACTTTGTGATATATTTAAGAGCTGAGTTGACCGTAACTCTTTCTTACCATGGTAGTTTTTTCTGTGTGCCCATATACTTCTGTTTATTTGTGAATTGCATGAGGTAGGTGCCTGCTAGAGGCAGAATGCTAGCTTATGTAGAACCTATGAAAATAACTTTCCAAGGTTCTCTGCCTGTTCCGTGTCAGTTAAAACTAACATATTGTGGAATGGTAGTGGTTTTCTTGCCGTTCCTTTGCAATAGCTCAGATGTTATTCACAAGTTATGAATGGTTTGGCTATTGTATGTATGCTGCTGTAATTTCCATTTAGCCACATTAAGTGCTTTACATTCTGCTATGTGCCCAGAAGCACAGCTCCAACTCTCAGGACTGAAGTTCGTATATAGAGGACTTCTGCTGTTGTTTGCTTTGGTGAACATCTGATTCATAGGTGTGATTTGGTTTGTCCAGAGCAAATCTTAAGTTTATGGTGTTTTTGTTCATTTGTTTTTAATTTTCATAGCTGTGCTTAATAATTGTTCTAATTAATTTGTTCTAACAGGCAACACAGAGAATTCAGTCCATTAAAGATGCTGAGATAAATCCCAATGGTGATGACCAGGCAATGTCTAAGACTGTTCCAGAGATGGAAGTTAAAAATGCAGAAAATAATGAGCTGCCTTCAGATCGTGGTGTAAATGGCAAAGGTATTTCCCTTTTTTGGTCATTTCTGATGTGTAATGGGCCAAATGTACTGTGTCCTCAGCTACTGTACAGAATCACTGCAGTAGAGCAGTGAGTTGTATGTCACTGTACTAAGAGTTCAGAGGTATCCCACGATTGTCATGTCCTTTCTCTGGGCCTTTCTGTGAAAGCAGTTTCTTGCACAATTTTGTGTTCATCTTTATCATGTTTGGCATCTCCTTCCTCACATGGCCAGTTGTCAACTGGGGATTGCCACTCCACTCACCATGAAATGTCTTGTGGTGAGCTGGGGAAGGGGAATGTTGCTGGAGCAGCTGGGTTCTGCCCAGAGGAGGTGAGGAGCATTGAAATCTGTGAGAAGTCTCTAGCTGAGAAACTCAGCAGGAACAGTGGGAGCCTTTGATTATCAGGAGCTGTGCAGGAAGCTCTCAGTGAGTAACTTGCAATTGTTTCCTGTCTCCAGGCCCCTCTAAAAGGTTTTTGGGTTCTCCTTGCTTCTACTTCTGCTGCTGAACCTGCACCTTTTTGTATCAGTTTGGTGTCTTTTCCAGCCAGTTTCTCAAAGCAAGCTTTTCCCGCTCAGCTACCAAGAGCAGTGCATCTGTTTCCCATCCTTTTCTGAGCATTGCTTGGACTGGCTTTGGGATCAATGCTCCAAAGCAGTCTTCAGGACTTGGATGGAGCAATATGAGAAGTCTTGTAGTTGGACTGTCAGTGTGGGACATTTTCTGTGGATGATGGACTTTTCTTCTGGTCTTAGAGACCTCCACAAGAGGGAAACAGTCTTAATGATTAATAAGGTAGAACATCCTATTTTTGTCTTACAGAGAAAGTCAAACCAGGAGGAGATGCAGGCATGCCTGAAATAGAAGACAATGACCCTGCTAAAGCTGAAGATACTCCCACTGGTTAGGAGAAATACTCTAATACTTTCACACTAGGGTTTTTGCTGTTATTTGTATTCCATGTGAATACTATGTGTTTCATAATGAACACAAAGTTTTTAAATCTGTCTATGCTAGTAAAGTTCAACTGAAATATAAAATGTGAAGATTTCTTACTGTTTGTTATAGCTTTGAATCTTCAAAACTGAGTGCTTCAGTGCTTCCAGAAGTTTGGTGGTGTTTTTTTTTTGGCCAGAAATTCTGTATTTCATATTTTCATCCAGGATTTGAAAACAAAATGTTTACAGGATTGTCAGAGGAAGAGTTGTTGTTATATTGTTGTTCTCACCTTAAGGCTTTTGTCAATGTATTTTGTTCTAGCTATAAAGAAGCCACTTATGTCAGCTCCCAGAAGCGATAATCATCAGTCTGTTTTAAACCCTCCAACTGAGCAGCCCCACGCTCCAAATCTGGCACCAGGTAAAATTCTGACTAGCAGATGATGTGCTAACCTTTTGTGCCAACCTTCCCAATTAATATCTGCTATTTTATCATGGAAACTTGGTGCAGGTGGCCAGCACTGTCTTCATTTGATACTATTACAAAGAAAAGAAAAAGTGATTTCTGCTGGATACGAGATTGAATGTATTCTTAGTGTGGGCTCCTGAGGCACTGTTGTTGCTGCTTACATTGTCTCTTCATGCTCCCTCTTGCACCCAGTCATTTCTGAGCTTTTTGGTCAACTTCAGCCAATTTTGACAACTAGAAGTTTCAAAGAGAAATGCTTGAAGACTTCTCCACTGGACAGGAGAGTGCAATAGAAATTAGCAATCCTCTGTGTGAGCACTAGTTGGGGTTGCAGCATATCATTAGGAGTTGATTATTTATTAAAATGTTGTTTTTTTATGGTAGCATTAAAACCTTTGTTTGGAACCATGTAAGCACTGAACACACTCCTTTTTCTGTAGGTTTGCATGGTGACAATGGTGGAAATGCTGATACTGTGAAAGAGATACCTCCAAATTCTCTCCAGCACTTAAATTTTGGAGAAAATATGGAAAGTCAGAATGAAAACAAAATTGAAGCAGACCATATAGATCTTCAAAAAAGCAGAGCTGTCGAATTGCAAAAGATGAAGCAAAGTAAGTTGGTGAATGTCATATACGTCAATATACTAGGAGAACTGTTTTGTTTTCCATCTGTTCTAATGCTGCTTCTTTGGAAAATAGAAACCATTACAGCAGGTGATCTTTGGAGAATAAGCCTGAAAGGAAATATAATGTTATTGTGTCTTTAAAACCAAACAAGCAAGAAAAGACACACCTGCACATGTCATCTCTTATGTGTAGTCAGTCACCATGTGAAAATTATTTGCTCATAGGCACTCAAAGTGTTTCAGGAAGGTACTGCATTTTAAATAGATTGTTAAGTTAAGACTTTTGGTCAGTGCACGATAGGGTGACTTATATTCATGGTGTGTTGCTTGACTTACTTACAAGTTTAAGACAAACTCATTGGAACTCAGCTCTTACGCCAGGGAGCTTTGATATTGAATGTATGTGTATTGGTACAAAGCATGTTCTCCAAAACCCCTCTCTGCAGTGATGCTGCCAAAGAAAGAAGTTTTCAGACAGGAGCAAATCATACATGTGCTTATATTTGTGCATGATGGTAGTAATGCTGATGAAGCTTAGTGGGTGGACAGCAGGTAAGAGTTTGCAGATATGCCCATGGTTGTCTCTGCACTGTTGATTCTGAAATGCATCTCCACCTTGCAGGTAACGCTGTATGCTGTGCTGTGTGCTCCTCCATGTGCTGTGGGGTACAACTGGCAAGGCATACCTTGACCAGCTGTTTCCAAAAACTCATTCCAGCTGTTTAGCATTTGGGTGACAAAGGCAAGTTTGAAGGAAAATCAAACGTATTGCTAAAACATTTCTTCTCTGTTTTTACCTAAGTAAGGTGTGGATTTTTAATTACATACTTATTATAAACTCAACTTTGAATTTATTTTTCACTCAGTGGTGAAGTAGCTTTCCCTTAGGATTTGGTTTCTGGGATCAGAATCTATACTTAGAGATGGCAAAGCATTATGTTTGAACTAACAATCCTCTTCTGAGTCTGAGAAGCAGTAAGGAAGGTTTCTGAAGCCTACCAATAAACACTGTTAGTTCTGTGGGCTGGGTAAGCAGCAGTGGTTTTGTTGAATCAGGATGATGAACTGGTTTAAGTGATCGATGAAAAGCCTTCTGGAAGCACAGATCACCCTTGGAATCATGAAGCTATGAAGGCATTTTTTTGAGGGTTGGTGCAGGAAGTTTGCTTTGTTAAAGTTGTGGCAGTTTCTTTCCATGGTTCAGACTTGTCTGGCACTTCTCTTACATGGAGAATTGGCAGGGAAATTCTTAGCTTCTAGCAATCGTTGAATAGTCCTCGAATAACATTAAAAGTAAGTTGAAAATAATGTTTACAGAAATAAATGGAGTATTTTTGGGGTGCTATTGTGAAACAGAGGTTCAATTGTAATAGGGCCTGTGAGCTTGTAGTCAGATCTGTGAGCTGATAGATGTTGGAGTATAATGGCACACAGGTGTACAGCTGTGTGCTTTTCTTCTCCCCCACCCCCATGTAGCTCCCACGAGGTCAGATGCTGCAGCCCATCCAAGAGATTTGGGAAGCTGTCTGGAGATGTTTCTGAGCCTTTAACAGCTTTGAGAAATGAAAGAAGATATGTCTAAAAAGTGAAAGGAAGGAGGATTTGAGGAGTTCCAGCAGCCTAGCTTTGATATCCAGAATGAAAAATGAACAAATTCTCATCAGTCTGAATAAAATGAAGTGCTTAGCGCGGATTTTTCAAGAACAAATTATGTCAGTGATAAACGTGTACTCAGAGGAGCAAAAGCAAGATGGGACTTAGTTGGATACAAACTAATGGAGACCTAATTAGGAATAAATTGCTAATTTATGGGTACGTGACTTTAAGAAAAGAGTATACCAGACACAGGTAGCAGTCTAAAAAAACCAAACAACCTCCTGTAAGGTTTACAGAGGTGTCTTTTCTTGGCACTGTTGCTGCGTGGTGCTGGCTGATAACAGGATGTAAGAGATGTGCTTTCAGCAACGTGGAAGTTTGTAAAACATGAAATTAGTTTGCAGTTAAGAATGGAAAGTCAAGTACACAGGATAGAGTAACAAACAGAAAACAAGCAGTTCAGTAGAAAACGATACACTCAACAGTCACTAAAAATGTTTCCTACTAGAGTGTGTTAACAAGAATGTCAGGTGGGAGACAAAGATGGAGTTATGTTCTCTGCTTTGTCTAGTGCTTGTGAGGCCATCCTGTGGCTTTAAATGAATAAAATGAATAAAAATGAATAAAAAAGAATAAAGTTTAGAAAGGTGAAGGCAGAAGGAATTGGGTGGGGATTAAAATAGGAGGGGAAAAGATCTGCAAAGAGCAGGGTGGAATGGATGGGGAACAGGCACCTGTTGTGCTACTGGAAACAGATGATAATGAGCACAGGCTTCACTTACTTTAATACCACTTGTGGCTCTTTCTGGTGAAATGAGGCTATTCAAATAATACTGTAAGTTACATTAATTCAGTAAATAGTGTAACTCGAAATCAACGTGCAGTTTGCTCAGTTCTTCCACTTCACGTATCCTGAGATGTCCAAGACTGTTTAATTTATCAAATGAGCTTCTTGCAGAACCTGCGTTGTGTGAGCAGCTACAGCAGAACTGACACAGCCTCATGTTTTAGTTCTTCACTTTTTAAAATGGATTGGCTCTCTGCCCTGTGAATGGAGTAAGTGCATGGGGGGCAGGAGCAGTGATGGAAATGGCTCCACTGAAGGCTGTGGGTACCTGAGAGTCAGTAAGCACTGATCAGCCTTTGCACTTCATCTTTTCTCTCCCTTCCATGTGATACCTTGCATCATAATGATGCAGCAAGGGAGAGGATTTCTTTCTAGATCTAGAAACCTGCATTAGTTATTTCTATGAGATTTGTTTCCTGATTGATCAGCAGTGGCCATTTTGAAAGGTCCACTGGTGCTGGAGCTGCTCTCCTCTAAGCCAGGACGACTAATTCAGCATGCATCTCTCACTGCAGATGATTGCCTGGCTGGGCTTTGATGTCTGCCCATCTTGTCTCATCCCATGAGCTGATGCACACAAGCAACCTCTTGTTGGTTGGGCTGCCATATCTGCCCAGCTTCAGAATTGTGAAGCTTCTTCCAAAATATGCTTTCTTTTTCCATTTTATTAGCACAGATTTAAAAAGGATTTAAAAATTAACTTTGGTACTGGGGGTACCAACATTGCAGTGGTATGGTTTGAGAAGAGGCTGATGGAAGTGCTGCAGGCACACTGTGCTCATGCCTGGTGCCTGGGGGTGGGAAGTGGGAGTGCAGCAGAGCTGCTGCTGTGTGAAGCTGTCCTGTAAGTGCCTTAGTGTGAGCATCAGACAGCTGCTCCAAGGGCTGCATGAGGGTTCAGGTTAGCGATACCCAACTATTATCTGAACTTCTTTTGTCAAACACTCCCTACGGCCTTTAGCATCCACTGCATCCTTATGGGACGTCCCATTGCTGTCACTTGCCTCTCCTGTTTTGTGCTCTCTCAAACAGCCCTTGCAATGCCTGCGTTACAGATACCAGCTCACGTCTGCAGTGAGCTGAGCAACAGCCCACGACACCACCACGTGCTGCTGGGACAGATTCCAGGCAGTACTGCTGCTCATGTCTGGTTCAGGAGGCAGCTGGTGCCTTGCTGGCTCTCGTTCTGCTGGCCCAGCTCTCGGTGCCCCAGGAGCGTGTGTGAATGCCTTGTGTCAGAGCTGATGCCCTCCTGGGCAGGGAGTCACCTGCTGCCTCCATCCCTCACACCTGGCTCTGCACACACAGTCAGTGGGGTGCTGGGTTCCCTGAGGCCTTCCTGATGTTTTAACTTTTCCTTCCGTCAGCTTACTCTTGTCGTAGCATTTCTGCACATCTGCAGCCCTGTTTTTTTTTCTGTAAGTTAATCACATTCAGTTTTTCTCATACCTAACTTTATATTTAATGTGCAAATTGTACAGTTATTTGTAGAAGGCAGCGTCCAAAAATAAAGTCAACGTTCACAAGGATTACTGAATTACAGAGGTGAATAGAGAGTGACCAACAAATCAAACCTCTGATGTACAAACAGATCATAGACACCAGTTTCTGTACATGTGAGGGGCACTGCTGTCATCCTTCTGCTTTTCAAGCACTGTTACTGTTTCTGCTCTGAATTTTATATACTGCCACATACCAGTTTTCACTGTTTTAAGAGAAAAATTCATTTTCTCATCTGTCCATTGTGACCCAAACACTTTTTTAATCCTAATGTTGAAATCATATCTTCAGTTTTACTTCTGTGTTTGTTTCCAACATGGATCACTTAACATCTGCCTTGGCAGGCCTTTTTCTTGGTTTGTTTCCAGTCTGAAATGATTGCACTGCACTTTGATCCCATTCTCCTTTTATACACAGTCTCCAGACCTGTGCTCTTGGTTAGTGTTGCTTTCTTTAAGCCATGGACAAGAAGACTGAATTCTGTGGTCTTGACTATTTCTCCTTTTCCCTCATTACATACCAGGTCTGAACTTGACGTTGCACCATGAATCTTTCACTGTGTGCTCGTTTGTAGTCGTTTTATAGTTGCAGCTAATTATTTTTGTTTTTTGTTTGTTGTTGAAACAGTTGTTTGTGTGGAACAGTTCTTAATTCTTTGCTGTGAGACAAAAGACTGCAGTTGGAACATTTTGGAAACGTAAAGCTCAGCAGAAAACCTGAATGTTACCCAGATCAATTAGGTGGTTTGAAAAAAATCGGTGTAGAGTGTGAGGCAGATCTTTGTGAGATTGGTACCCTTGGCAGCGTGGTATCCATGCTGTAAGCTTCACTTCCATGTACAAAGTCAGCAATGTTTTGCTCCATTTTTTTGGTTTAGGAAAATGTCTGGGTACAAAAATTTTCACTCTGTGCTCTTCAGCACTTTACAAAAGGAGAGCAGTGGAGCTTTTTGTTTGGATGCTTCCCCCTGCTCTTTTCTACAAAGCAAAGCCCACAGCAGGCAGATCTCAAACCCCAGTTCAGAGCCATCAAGGACATCCTGTCTCCATGGAGGTGTTCCTAAGCAGCACTGTTGTCCCTCCTGCCCATGCACTCTCCCTTCTACTCCCTTCTTCCTCCAGTCAAAGCTGCTACAGAAACCTGAATATCCTAACCTGCGGGCTGCTTTCATTTAGAATCTTCTTGTTTCTTTCCTCTCTGCTTCTGACTTAATCCTTTGCCTACTTCGCAGGCCGTTTCTTTGATGAGAATGAATCCCCTGTTGATCCGCAGCAGGGTTCTAAACTGGCAGATTATAATGGGGATGATGGTAACGTGGGTGAGTACGAGGCAGACAAACAGGCTGAGCTGGCTTACAATGAGGAAGAGGATGGTGATGGTGGAGAAGAAGACGTCCAAGGTGAGCTTGGGCCTTATCTCCATCCCGTTGTAATAAAATCCACACTGAATTTTCTTGTTGAATTTGTGTAAAGCCTCATTAATTTTGGCTGATCTGCAATTTATAATATGGAACAAATAAGCTTTAGGCAATCTTTAAAATTCAGCTCGCTTTCCATTTGAAAGCAATGTTTTAGCAGTTCTCAGAATATTCCCGTATCTTTTTTCAATTTTGCACAGTTTCTTCTAGGAAAATCAAGATGTTTCAAATTTTAGAAATGGTTTTCTAAACACAAACGTGGTGTATAGCTGGCTGGGGACGCAGTCTTTGGCACTACACTCCTCTACTTAAAACTGCATTAGTAGTTTTTGACTCCTGCACTGAGGTGGTACACAACGAAGTCCCAGATATCAATTCTAAATGTAACTTTTTGTGCACTGTACACAGATTCAACAGACTTCTGGTTCTCCTTGTTAACCAAAGTTCAGAACTCAGCCTAACACCCATCCCTGCATGTTCCCCCCCCCTGCATGCGTCTCGCTGCGTCACCTCTCCGTTGTCGTCTGCCACGTTGTCTGCCATTCTCCATGTAGTTGTTTGGGATGTCTTGTGAAGGGCTTGCATGTCTACAGGTTGGAAATGTCTGCTTAAACATTTACGGTGTTTCCAATTAAGGAAATGATGCAAAATAAAGGGGGAGTGCAGAGGGTGGGAGGGCTGTAACTCTTCAAGTCCTGTGTGCACCCTGATTTTGATCCTTGTAATGCAGGTTTTTAACCTGGTGGGTTGTCAATCATTTTATTGTTATCCAAGCATAGGAATAACTGATAAAATGCAACTGATTTCTGTTACATGCACTGCTGTATGCAGTGTGTTTAGTGGCTGTGCTGGTAGTTTGAAACACGTGAGTAAGCACAAGAACGATATGGACCAGAACCCAGGACAATTAATTTGCTTACTGATGAAAATGAAAAGCGCTGCTGCTCCAGGTGACGTGGCCTGTCTGCTACACTCAGAGCTGTAGCAGGGGACTTTAGTTGCTCTGGATTACAAATGTCCATTCCTCTGGGTGCATTCTTATGAGGTTCTGAATGGATTGTTAAGGTGAGCTTCCAAATGAATGTAAATAGTCCATATGGCTGCTTCTCCTGATGTGCACTGCACTGTGGAAGTAGGAAGCTGGTTTCTCATGGTCGTGGTTTTGTAGAGCAAAGAAAAGCACAGTGTGGTGCATGTCTGCTCACACTCTGCAAATCCAAGCAGTAGCGTGGATTGAGTTGAGTTTTGGTTGTTATTTAGTTCAATTCTCCCTCATACACAGCGGGTGATGCCTGGCTGCTCTCTGCATCACTTTCCTAACTGGACTTCGAAGGGTGATTCTTGACATGAGTGAGGCCCAGTGCTGCCCTGTGCCATTCCTGTGGCTCTGTGCTGGGCAGAGGGTGCCCAGCAGCACGGTGAGGCAGCAGTGCAATCCCTGCACACACTGCATTGTGCCCCCACCATGGAACTGCCTGCTTACCAACACTGCTGTGGTGGCTCTGCAGGGAAACCAATGGCTCGAGATAGCAAGAAGCAATATCCTGTAAGCTATTAACTAGTACAGGTACCTTGAGTGGCACTGCTGCCAGCAGCTTATGCAGCGATGGGCATGGCACGGAAATAAGTGCTGGAGAACTGTTAGAAACCAGAGGTTGTGGTTTTGTAGCTTGCTATGTAGGAGCTGCAATTGAAAGTGGCCTTAAAACTTTCACATGCTGATGTGACACCTCTCAGCTCAGTGCTGTGGTGGCTTTCGCTTTGGACTTCTTCTGCCCAATCTCTTTACATCTGCACAGACGTAAGAGACTTTGTGCCATGTAGTGAAGATCGAAGGGTGACCTTGGGAAGGCTCTTCCTGCAGAACAGTCCAAGCAGCACCTTACAACCTCTGGCTTCATTTTCCAAACCATTTGTTGTCTTGTCTCCTGTTAACTTGTTGGCTTGTTCTGTGTGGTACTGCCAGGAGCAGCATTTTAGAAGTGTCTGCTTTAGTTTTTGTACTTAATTTACTAGCAGGGGAAGAGAAGGTGGAATTGTGGGATTTTGGAGGGGGAGTTGTTATAATTGTTTAGAGGTTAAAAAAAGAAAAACCCACTGAATTTGTGCCTCAAAACTATTAGGAAAACATCACATGGTTCTGCATTAGGCTAAAGCAAAGCATCTGGTGTGTGTAAACAAAGCAGTTTGGCTAAATGTGTTTTTGTGTTACCACTAAAATTGTGTGGGCCTTATATTGAAATATAAGGAAAATAGACAAATTTGGGAGATGCACTCCTGTGAACATCAGCATCCAACCTGGCGTTTCTTCTTTCAGTTCACCTGTTTGAAATGCAAAGTGAAATGTTGGTTCTACACCAGTAAATGCTGTTTTGTGGTGGCTGGGTGGTGGTGGATTACACCAATCAAGTGATACCTTCATGCTTTCTTATTAGTGGTTTCTACCAAACAGCAGCATGTGTCATGTAGATAAACAAGCCTGTGCCAGTGGCAGTAGGCTGCCAGGGCGTACCTGCCTCACTTGCAGGCTGATAAATAAACTTGTGAATGTTTTAGAGCTTCAAACAGGTTATCGTCAAGCGATAGGCTTGGTAAACTTGTGGAGGGACAGCTGGCGGCAGTCACTTGAACTCTGCTTTCTGTTCCTGTGAACTGGTGTCCTTCACATGAGTGTAAGGGGACACCGTGAGCTTTGCAGTGCAGCAAAAGTTTGTTGGTTAAAGCACACTGGACTTTCAGGACCTCTTTTCTTGTGGGACCATGCAGGAGCCATCTCAGTTATGGCTGCCAGAATAACGTGCCTCAATAGTTCTTGCAAGAGATGTTTTAAAATATATTTTCCATGATTTTACTTTTTTTTTTTTTTTTGGTGCACTACATTAAACGAATATAGTGAGGATGAGTAAGTTTTGAGCGCTTGTTTTTATGATTTTTCATGAGCCTCAAAGTCCCAGGAATAGAAGTCAAGAAGTAGGAGAGCGGCAGGGAGCGGCAGTCAGTGGGGATCTGCAGGAGGGAACGCCTTCACTCACTCTCCCAGCCAGGGATGAAGCAGCAGCCACACTGCAGAGCAGCAGAGCTGTGGCACTCCCAGAGCGGGCGCTTTGCATCAGCTGCAGGCTGCTCAGCATGCACTGCCCTGCTGCTCTCTGCTGCACTGTGCTTCCTGGCTGAGCTGCAGAATAACTGCGTGTTTAAGAGCAGATGTTCTGATGGGTGAGCTATTTATCACTTAGTAGCCTGACTGGATGGTTGCATTTCAGCTGTGAAGAGTACAGGTGAGGAATGCAATGCTGATTCCTAGCAAGGCTGAGAGAGAATACAGATTTCTATTGATGAGAAGTGTGGGAAGGTTGAGCACTGCTTTTTGTGTTTTTAAGAGTCCTTCATGTTTTATACTTGAGTCTGACATGCAGGATAGCAGTCTGTAACAATGCTGATAGCAAAGGCAATTCAGAGTATCATTTTTCAAACCTAAGACGTAAGCTGGAAGAGTATCACCTTACTCTTCTGCACTTTATTCAGAGACTTGGAGGAGGGTCACAAGGACTTCTCTGTGCCAGTCCTGCATGGTTCCCAACCTTTGGTAAAAACCCTGCAGTGTTTCAACTCTGCCAACTTGTAACCCGTGCTGATGTAAACTCCCAAAGTTACAGAGACTTTCTAGTCGGCTTTTAGTGGGAGAGTTTCAAACCTATAAAGGAACATTCTCAATTTACAGTAGTTCTGCAATCTCTCAAGTCATTAGATGTCTGAAATGCAGTTGGAACAAAGCCAGAGATGCTCAGTAGTGTGAAGTCACAGTTTGTCAGATGGGACAAATCCCTGAGTGCTGACAGCTGGACCTGTCATGGCAGGGCCTTTTGCTGCCTTGTTTTCCTAGAGGACTTCATTCCCATAGCCAGAGGAGGCCCTGTTGGTGTGGATGGATGTGTTAGCACTGTGTTCATGGGAAAGCTTGCTTAATCTTATTTTTTTTATTACCATCGCATGAGAATTGGTCTGGATATTTCAATTGCAGATGATGAAGAAAGAGATCTACAGAATGACCTCGTTGATTACAGCAAGCCACGCTTTGGTGATGGTGTTCTTTAAGGCTTGAATTAAATGGGAAATGTAGATGAGATCTCAACTGAAGAACTTGAAGTGCTGCAAAACTGAACCATTTTTACTTCGGCGTTTCATACTTTAAAACAAACTGATAATTAAAATAAGTATACTCAAAGTTAGGGAAGTAACAGAAGGAAACAGTTCTGTACATATGTACATAGTTGTACTATTGCAAATTGTATTAAAATGACATTTTTGTTGTTACATTGAACCAATTACTTAGACTGTACCTTATCTGTAAGAATCTTTACATTTAAAACCAATACTATAAATAGGGGCTGAATTGTTTCTGCAAATTAGAAAACTTTGTAAACTGGAGAACTTGTACAGTTTGTATCTCATGTAACAAATACCCTGTGGAAACAATGTACAGCCATTGGACTCCTTTTCTACAGTAATACCTGTATGAGCGAAAATACTCTGCTTTTTTCCACGAGTGCTGTGTTTTTTGTACTTTGCAGGTGAGCTATTGTTTGAGAATGAAAACTGAATGCTTAAAAAATTGCTCCTTCTTTTATGTAAGTGAGGAAAGAGTGGCATAGGCCTCAGAAGCAAGCAGCATTTTGATTCTCATGTCCAGTGACCAAAAGTCATAGCTAGAGCTGGAGATCAGTGACAGTAGAGTTTCAGTGATTTGATACATCCTGAAAAAGTTGTGTAACTAATAGCTTATCTTAAAAGGTAATATAAATAATTCAACACAGCTTGTAGGGAATCCTTGTGTACGTGTTAAAGAAGAGCACGTTTCAGTGTGGGGATGGGGGAGGGAAGAAATCTACATCAGCTTTGCAGGAACCTGAATGGAAGGAACAACCCCTACCCTCCCTCAATACCTTGTATGCAGAGTTTTACTGTTCCAAGAGACTCCATCCTGTGTTGTAGTCACTTAAGTTAATTTACAATGTAATACTTTACTACAGATCTGTCCAAATGTCTGCCACTTCCACCTTTGCTTTCGTATCTCAGACCAGTTTGTAAGTTAGATACTTTCTGTACTGTGTGTTCAGCACTTTCTGTATTTTATGGAAATGATTCAGTTGATTTACAGTAGTGGAAAATGAGGTTATTAACCCAACCTGCTTCTCCAAAAGGGCTACTGTGAAAAGAAATTACAGGACCTTTGACATGGGTGATTGTACTCTTTCTGTATTCAGGTTCCAATCTGAAATAAGTCTTGCTTGATGCCCATTCAGTGGACCTTTTACATTTCAGAAGTTGCATGATTATTTTTTTTTTTTTTGCTACATTATTTTTGCTACAGACATATTCTGCTAATGAGTCTTAAATATACAAGAAATAAAAAATCAAATTCTGGTGATGCATTCCAACGGTTTGGTTTTTTTTTCCCCTCTGGTGGTGGTGTTTAAGGCTTGAGTTCTTCATTACGTATCTCTGAGAGGAGATGGGGGGAACAGCCCTTTGCATGGTGTGATGTACTTCCAGTTCAAAATAAAACACTGAGCCTGCTCTGAATTAGATACCAAACTAACACCACACAGTAAGAACAAACCTGTACCTGGATTCTAAGAATAGCAGTCATCAGTAAATGCCATATTTAAGCACTGCATTTTTTTGCTCTTAAAATGTAATTTCACCCTGAATTCAGGTGTTAACTAATGAAAGCAACATATATGGGTTCTAATAAATTGTTTAAAGTTTGTGAGGCTTCTGGCTCTTTTGTTTCCTTCTGCAACCATATCGAAGTGATCGTGGCTCCTGAAAATCAGATTAAAGTGGGCCTTCTCAGGAGCTGAATAGTCTGATATATCAGCAATGGTTACACCTGCTTGATAAAAGCCAACTCACAGGGCAGTGACTGAGGTGAGGACCTTACTACAAGCCATACAAACTTACTTTCTTGTCACATCAGGACAATTACACTCTTGGATATTTTTAAGCAACAAGTGAGCTTCAAATGCAGTACCTGTGTAGTTGGTGTGAATGTGGGTACCAACCTTGGCAGCAACTCTTGAGCTACTGTAACAGATACACAAGAATAACTTGGCAACACTGTACCTACTGTAAAATCTTCCTTGAGTCCCTCACTGTAAGGTCTCTGGTGTTGTGCTGTACAGAAACTTCTCTGGCCAGCTCTTTGCGTGTTGCTTCTGCACTGCATTTCCATCCTTGAAGCCTGTGAGACTGTTGGTCAGACAGGTTACTGAGGAGGTGTACACGGATAAGTGTACAACCACACTGCCCTTGGTAAGTGCCCACATCCACACTGAGGTCAGTAACCTGTTATTATGGGCAGCACGCTGTGTGCATGAATTGTAGGCTTGCTTCACCCCAGTGTTTTGGGAGAGTATTTCACTGAAGTAGAGCCCGTACAGAAGCATGGTTTGATCCTCGTGGGTATCCTTTTAAGGAATCTGATTTAGGTCACTAGACACTCTACCCTTCATTATTTAGTGATCCGATGTTTAAGGAATTTTATTTCTAAGAGGAATTGTTCTGTCAAACAAATTCCACTTGAGTGAAAAAAAGTCTGTGTTCTTTTGGGAAAGTGCCAATGTTTTTAGAGCAGTTTTCTTTTTTTTTTTTTTTTTGCAGCTGTTTTCTACACCATCTCCCCTTCCACAGGCATGTGGCTGCTTCCCCACCTCAGCAGTTAGCCCTGTACCCCCACCTCATCCCTTTTCTTCTTCAGGCCTGCAGTTCTGCCTTACTGTCCTTTCCCAGTGTCTCCCATCTCTTCTGAACTGCATCACTGCTGGGTGCAGCGAAGTGCTGCAGCTTTCTGTTGCTGTGCCTTTCCCTCCCTTCCCTGCAGCCATCCCTTTCCAATCACTTCACACCTGCAGCACTGACCTCCTGCTCCGTGCCTTTCCTTTAACATACTGCCCTTCACCAGCAGTGCTCTAGAGGGCTGGGGACATCCAGTTCATATCGAAGACAGACATCTAGGCATGGCTTGAGCTAGAAAATAGATACAAATGTCTGAATCACTAAGCTGAAGATGCAAGACTCCAAACAGAGGAGTCTTCATTTTCCAAGAATTCCCGGGGCGCTCTGCCCTCAGCTCCATACAGATGTGCTCAGTGCACACTGCCAGCAGGGAGTCCTGCACTGATCCAGTGCTCAGCTGGGATAGCTGCCTCGCCTGCAAGTCGGCTCTTCCTAAAGCACACGTCCTCAGAGGCAAAGAGCTCAAAGAAATGGCACCTGCTTCATTTCTACGTGCTGCTAAAGATTCCAAATGATCAGCTTTGTGTTTCCTGTTAACAAGAAAAATTTGCCAGCTAGCTTAAATCTGTAGTTCTTGTCCAGTACCTCTTTCAATACCTTTTTCAAGTAGAGGCCTAAAGAAGTGATGAAAATGTGATTGCTTTCAAGTGTGTGGAAGAGAACAAGCTAGGAAAAAAACGCAATTAATGCATGTTTTTCTAACAAAGTTCCTTCAGTCAGAGGCTCACTTAAAAAACACATAAATCATTGACCTGCCAATGTGCCTGTCTATACCTAATGTGTTCATGGCGTATCGTTTAGTACCACCAGTATCAGCTCATGAGTAGCAGTATGAATGACTAACCTATCTGGATTTTATTTTTTACATCTAGTTTTGAAATCCCGAGGCCATTTTTCTGAGCTGATACCTGTTTCCATGGAAACAGCAGCACACAAAATGTTGACATGTTTCAGAGAGCACTACTCAAATATCTGCTTTCCTCAAACCACCAGCTGAACTTCAAAATAACATTTGGTGCGTGTGGTGGAACTGCTTTACAAGAAAAATCAAAGCACCTTTAAAGGATGGCCCAGCCCAGATCTTGTTGTTTGAGCAGTGATTCTAGACAGCCAAAGCAGCGTGCAGCTCCTTGAGTTCTGTTTTAAGGCTTGTGTACGAGCAGCTTTTTGTTCACATGGCAGTGCATGGAAGGAGTCATCTCCTGAAAAGCAGCAAACGAGACCAACAAACCTCATCCTAGCTTCTCATAAACTCACATCCCTCTTTCATACATACTTCCAAGTGCTTCAGTTCACCTTGCCATTTTGCAGTGCTAAGTGCTCAGCATCATCACTGTTAAGAAGAGGTGAGGAAGCATGGTGAAGATGAGCTCCCAGGTGTGCTGGTGGGAAGAGGACTGTATCTGAAACTTTACTAGAAAGCAAAAGTTAGTTCAGTTTTTCTAGTTTTTGTACACTGAGTTTTGATTAGTTTCTTCCTTTTCCTCCACTTAGGTTGATAAAGAGTAACAGCTGTACCTACCATAGCCCTGCAAACACACACCAAACCAAGTGATGTTTATTCATTGAAAAATGGGTTTCCTACTGATTTGAGATCTAAGAGAAAAAGAGAAAGCTTTATTCAAATGCAATGAGAAAAATCTATGTTTTGCCCCAGGCTACATCTGAACAACCTATATTAACTTGTGAGACACTGGTGGCCAACTATTTCATTCTTTCTTAAAGACATCCCATATTTTAAAAGGTGAAAAACATTTACATTTTACAGATGAAGAGGACGCTGCGTTTGGAGGAGAAAGCGCCTCTGCCTCAAATTCCTCATCATCTCCCCCATTTCCCATTGGAGGACATGTGGGTATGGAGCACCCAAAGGTCCCTGATCTATGCTCCAACCCCCATAGCACAGGGAACTGCTCCTCCTGCTTTGTGCTCATCCAATACAGGTACCCAAGCGGGGGATAAGAATTAAAACAGTTTTTATAAAAGTAAAGCTTGGAAACAAGCAAAACAAAACAAAAGTATAGAAATGAGTGTGTTATAACAGTCTCGAGCAGCATAAAAGAAACGAGCAGCTTCTGAATGCGTGCACTTACCTGGAAGCTCTCCACACAATTCAGCCCTTTTCTGCTTTCCTCTCTCCATTTCAAAAGCCCAAGGCAGTAATGGCCACAATGGCTGCCAGGTCACAGGGCAGAAAGGGAGTAAGAAATGCCTGCACTTCTACACTGGCTGCAGGAGTTCCGATGTCAACCAAGAAGTTGTGGGGCTGAGCTGGTGTTCAAAAACGCCTGCAGTACTTCTGTTGTCCCAGCCTCTTAACGGCAGAAGAAGTGTAGGAGCTGCAGAACCAAACACAGGCAGGCTCGGAGCTCAGCGTGCCGGAGTGCTGTCCTTCAGGGACAGATGCAGAGCCCAGCTCCTGGCATCCAGCGCAGTAAGGGGGGACTACAACAGAATGCTCGTGAGCTATCCGCATCCATATTTAAATGCAGGAATCTCTACTGTCTAATTAAGAGTAACAACACTTTACGACTTCGAGGCACAGTACGGATACAAACGAATACAAACGTATAACAGCCACGTGAGGAAGTTCCTCGAACAGGCGGAGCTGAAGCACACCAAGGACCAAGAAAATCCCTGCAATTGTCCCATTTCCTAAAGAATTCAAATGCAAAGACAGAAAAGAACGAAGCGCATCTCCGCTTTGCATAAATAACCAAACCTGTAAAAGCCCAATTATAAAAAGCTGTATTTTAAAAGCACTCACAAGTCCACGTAAATGAATGTTCTGATGCCAAAAATATTTTGCTCAAGGTTAAACTGAGAAAATACATATTCCTAAGTCATTTTTGCTCAGCGAGAGATTGCAGTACTTTGTTTTATGCCCAGCCCCAAAGAGAAATCTGCCTCGAAGAGACATTAGCATACAAATGGGAGAGGAACTTTCAGAGCTTGGGCAACTGTTTCTCCATTACAGACAGCTCAAATCAATTCTGGTAAACATCAGAGAAAAAAATATCTGTGCTTCAGTTTCAAATATGAGTGCTCTCACACCTCAGAGACATACAAGGGATTTGAAGCTGGTGGAAACTGAGCATGTTGAAACGAGGGAAAACAACAGCCACCAGGACCCGGCTCACGTTCTCTGCCACGGCTGTTTTCCTTTCCTCCGCTCCTCCCCCGGCCCAAAAAAGGGTTGGAGAAGAGACCAGGTTTCCCTCTTAAGGTTGTTTAATTCAGTTTTCAAATCCGTTAAGCATGAAATGGGAGTGGGTCTGTCCTGCAGCGGTGAGGCTGCAATGGCACGGATTCCAGGTACTCCTGTGAGCATCCAAAGGAAAACAATCAACAGCCCGCCTTTCTGCCAAGCCTGAAGGATGATTTCAACAGCAGTGAGAAATCCAAGTACCTACAGTGAACAGTCGAAGAAATACCGAATTTATTCTAGTTAGTTCCAACCACCCAATTCTATTTATGGATTTTCAGTAGGCAGCTCTTCCCAAAGCTTTCTCCAAGCTCCATGGATCCCACAAAAGCAAAGACTCGCTGTTGAACCTGACTTCCTTGAAAAGGAGGAAACTTAAAGTGATGGCTTCCACCTGACAAAACAGAACCACATTTTTCAGAACAGAGCTGCAAAGAGCATTCTGCTCAAATTATTTTCACTAAAGTGACAAGATGAAGATGGACACTAAATAACTAATGAGTTACATATTTTATTAAATGTCATGAGTTACATTTTCATACAGACAAAATGGTAAACAGTGAAAAATACAAGGCTACAGAACAAAAGAACTCTTGTGAGCAAGCCGTAGAAGATTACATGTTTTCAGTGATTCACAGCATGATTGGCCTGGAAAACACACAGGGTTGGCTAGGCTGCATACAGGTTGTCATGCACTTCTGCTTCAGTTTAATTATATCTGCAACAGACTCTGTGCACAAGCAATCAAATCCTGAAAACTCTATCAAAGGCTGAAGCAACCCCTCACGTGCGCTCTGCTGCCCGAGGCAAAGCCAGTACACAAACAGGGAGAGCAGCCAGCTCTTTATCTGTCACTTTCTGCTGCAGCTACAGAAAGCTGGCACCCCTCAGCTGCTCTGCACACACAACCACTTACTGCTCGCTTCAGACTCTGGCGGATTTGCCTGAACAAATCCGTGTGTGTGTACTTGTGGTATGCGGAGAACTCACCGCCACCCTCAACTTCGCTCCTTCCCAAGCAGAAGAAGTGAGACTGAGTGCTTCCATCAGTTTGTATCACCGTGCAGAAACAGTGCAGTGTCCTGCAACGGCTAGAACCTTCTGGCTGACTCCAGCACCGAGGACACCGTGCTTCTCCAATACAGCACTGGTTTAAAGAAAAAGTGGGGGCACGTACACCTATGTACTGGATTACACTGGGACTTTCAGACACACAGAAACAGGGTTATGATACGTGTGCGAGGACTTGTGCCAATACAGAAGCAGGAACGCTCCCAGTCCCTCCACCCAAACCAAACTCTTCCCTCGGAGCAGCGATGGCTTGCTACTACGGACACTCCACAGTTCAACCTCCTGCAATTGGGCCGACTGCTGAAGGATGTTTTCAGCCCTGGCAGATTGTTCCGTGGCTGTAGACACCTCAAAGATGTTCTGTGCTAAACACACATTTCAGTTGGTTTAAATTCACGCTTGCCTTTGTGTCTGAAGAGGCGCACAGCACCATATGAATTCTGGCTCCCTCGCTAAGTGCAAGCAGGCAGAACAGTAAGTCTGTAGCTGCTCCTGGACAGACAGATTGGATGACAGACGTCTGGGCGTGCAGAGCAAGCACAGCCTGCGAGCTGCTCCTCAAGTAAGTCAAGTCCGTGGCTGTTCACCTACTGAACAAAGTGTGTTCCCTTCAGATAAGCAAGAGAAATAACAAATACTAGAAATAGATAATTTTAAAATCCTTTAACCCAAACAAGAATTGTTTTGTTTAAACAACCATTTCTCACAGCCACGGAAGTGAGCCCTGTAAAAAACACGGCGCCCAATGGCAGGTGTATGGACCACTTCCCAAGAGGAGGGCTCACGCACATGGAATCTCTGCAACAAACAAGGAAGTTTGTTTAGAGAAGGACTCTAAACAAGTCCTTCTCAGCGAGCATGTAAACACAAAGCTAGCAGGCCAGCAAGACTTGAGAACAACAAAAAGAGCTGGAAGGAAGTCACGAAGAACAGCCATTCAAGTGAACATTAACAGAGTATAACGTTTCAACAACGCGCAACACTGCTGGCAACGACGGCTTTTTTTCCTTCAGTGTCTCAGTGAAGAAAACACGCACCTGGAATATCTCAGTCTGGCAGCCCCTGCAATTGACTGCCAAGGGAAGAACCTGCCGTTGCCAATACAGAGCCTTTTCTGAAGCAGGAGTGCCTTCCAAGCTTGCAGTGCCTGGTGTGCACACCCAGACAGCGCCACTGAGCTCCTCCACGGCACACAGCGCTCCCACGGCGTACGTGGACCTTTGAACTTCTGCCTTCACAGCAGCGTCAATCAGCAGTATGACTTCATGTGTTCTCACCCGACATGTGACAAAGCTCACAACCCTTCTGGTCCGACAGCACCCCCTGCCCCTGCTCTGAACCAGGCACAAGACCTCTGCGGATACAGAAAGGTACAGTTCTTATTCCCTACAGACACCAAGTCAAGTGCTGCTTCATCTTCATCAGCATCTTCATCTTCATCAGCATCTTCATCTTCATCAGCATCTTCAAAATGTTTTCTTGGCTTCTGCTGCGAATGCAGTAGGTGGTTTTTGTGTTCTTACAAATACCTGTGCGCTTTGAATGCTGCTGAATGGTTTCCTCTGGCAGTTAGTTTCATTATAATTAGGTAGCTTGGAAAAGCCTCCCCACCTATTGTTTTTCAAGACTCCCACTTTACGAGTACCACGAGTACCACCGAATGCCCTTTTGGGCTTGTGCTATGAGACATCACAGAGTTACCTTGCCATAGTAGCTCCTCTTAACGGACTGACAAACAGTCTTAATTAAGTTTTAACAGCTTTCCAAGCAAACCTTTCCCACAGCCGATCGTACAAAGCACTGTGCTTAGTACCGCCTGTGTTGAGAAATGCTGTAATGCTCTACAGAACAAGGCCTGTTCTGAATGATGACTGCACTGTTTTCACCGCAGCTTTACTCCCTGCTTCCTTAAGAAATGAAGGTAAAATCAGTTCTACGATGTGAGAGTTCTGTGATAAAATTTTAAACCAATTCTTGGCTCCGCAGCAGCTGATGTGATTCTGTTTAACAAACCAATAAATAAGTGACAAGAGAACCGGGACTTCTGCAACGCAACTCAGGTCTGAAACCTGTGAGGGGCGTCAGTGGAACGGGAGGAGGACGAAGAGCACCGCGAGCAGGTTGGTGCTACGGGTGCGTTAGAGAACGCGCAGCCAAGCGACTTTGAGAAGCTGCCCGAAGGTCGAACAGCGCTTTGTGAGAAGCACGGCTTCGTGCTTACGGAGCGCGGTGGATGAAAGCACTCACGACCCCCGGGAGAGGCGAGGCCGGCAGCTCGGCACGCTGGAAGCCCGCAGTGCAGCCCGGCAGCGCTGCCGGTCAGGACGCCGCGTCCTCAGCATCTCACGCCGCCAAGAATTAAAACAGTCAAGCGGGAACGGAACTTGGCGACGGACCGCATCGCCGCACCGCCGTCCCGAAGCAGCGGCTCCAACCGCAGCGGGGAGCCTCGCAGGGCCGGGCGGCGCCGCTTCACCCCGGGGAGCGCAGCGGAACGCAGCGGAACGCGGCTCCCCGCCCGTCCGCCTCCCGCGGGGCTGCGCGGCCCGGAGAACCGAGCGCGGGGCGGCGGCGCCCCCGGCCGTACCTCACGGAGCGCCCCGCCCCCGCCCCTCCCTCACGGCTTCCCCCCCTCCCCCCGCCCGCCTCGCGCCCTCCCCGCCCCCTCGGCCGCTCACCTCCCCCCCCCCGCCGCCCCTTCCCGCCTCACCTCAGCTCGGGGCGCGGCGGCGCTGTGCCCTGCGGGCGGTTCGCGGCCGCATCTCCTCCTTCCCGTCCTGCTCGCGAGGCCCCGAGGCGCCGCCCGCCGCTCCCGGCCCAGGGAAGAGGAGGAGGAGGAAGAGGAGGAGGAGGAGGAGGACTGGGAGGCGGCTGCCCGCTCCGCTCCCTCAGCCCCGCCGCCTCGGGGCGCCGCTCCCCGCGCGAGGCCCCGCTCCCTCCTTCCCGGCCCGCCCCGCCGCCGCCGTGCCCGGGCCCCCCGCCTCCCCCTTCTCCTTCTCCTCCTCCTCCTCCCCCGGCCGGGCTGCGCCTGCGCGGCGGCCCCTCTCCCCATCCGGGTCCCTCCGTGCGGTGTAGCAGGTCGGTAGGCGGGAAATGGCGACTGGCTGCTGAGCGGCCGCGGAGCGCCGAGCCCCGGCGGCGGTGTAAACACAGCACCGCCCGCACGGCCCGGCCCGGCCCGCAGCGCCCGCCCGCCGGGGACTCGTCCAGCGGGGCCCGCCCGGCACCCCGCGCCGCAGGTGAGTGACGCGGCGGCGGCGGCGGCGGGGTCCCAGCCCGGGATCGGTGGGCGGCGTGGGGCGGCCGCTCCGGAGCGCGCGCGGCGGAGCCCGGACCGGGGCCTGCGGGGGAAACCGCGCGTCCCGCGGCGCTGCCCGCTCCTCCCGGCCCGGCCGCGGGGCGGGCTCGCCCTCATCCCGCGCCGTGCGGAGCGGGCCCGCGGCTGTCACCCCGCGCCGCCTCCCCGCCCCGGGCCGAGGCCTGCGGGGCGCCCCGGGCCCTGCGTGCGGGGGGCGGCGGGGCGGGCGCGTCCCGGCCGGGCCGGCTCCGGCTGCGGCTGCGGCTCCGGGGGCGGCCGGCGGTCCCCGCTGGGCTCGGGCCGTGCCGGCGCCGGGAGCCCCGTCGCCGAGCCGGGCGCCGGTGCGGGGACGGCGGGGCTCCTCCCGCGGCGCTCGGCGGCTCCGTCCCGGCTCGGGGCCCCGCCGCGGGGCAGCCCGGTGCTCGGCGCGCCGCCCCGCTCGTCCGCTCGCCGCTGCTCGGTGCGACGGGGCGCAGCGGCACGTGAGGACGGGTCTGGGCGCTTCGGGGCCGTTCGGTGGGCTCTGCCCGGCGTCGTGCTTCGCGCTGGTGGCCGTGGCTCGTGATCCCATCCCGAGCCCGTTGCTTCTGGTTGCGTTCCTCTCGGTCCTCCGGTTGGTTACGGTGCGCTTCTGAAAGTGCTTTTGAGGTGGTGTGCGTCGACTTTGCCTTTCTTGCTAAGTTTCCACGGTTACGCTGCGACAGCCCTCCAAGGGGATCTCTAGGAGTAACCGTTGCTCTGCCGCCTTGGGAGAGTTGCGGCCTCTTTTGCCGTGTCTCCATCAGTAAAACGGGGATAATAATACCTCTGAGAGTTGTTACAAGAAGTAGTTAATGTTTGTAGAGGGCTTAAAAGACCTAAGTGTTATTAATTAAGCCCCATGACACATTAAGGTAAGAGTTAGTGAATCAGGTTTACACATAGATGAACTGAGGCAGGAAGAGATTATGATGTAGCTGGAGTAACGTATTGGATCTGTGACAATAACAGAAAACAAGTCTTAACTGCTTCGTGCTGTAGGCACAAGCGAGCAGCTCCATACACGAGGTGCTTCCAAAATCATCTCCCCTCCCTCCGCAGCCCCCGGCCGCCCCAAAGCGAAGCTCTTCTGCCTTCCCCTCACCTGTGGGACTTCCAGGTGAGTGGGTGGCTCCAAGGACACTTGTGGCTTGCCTGCTTAAAAGCAATTCAACAGTTTTCATAACAAGATGTATGTTCTAGGATGCAAGCCAAATCCAGACTTGAATTCCATAAAACATTCTCCATTTTTCCCCTGAAAACATTATGTGGAACTTAGTTAAGACTTGATCGTGTTCCAGTCAGCGAGTGTGCGCCGAAGCTGACATTCCTGCTTCATCTGAAAAGCTCCTTCGTTAAAGAAAAGCCCAGTTGTCATTCTGTCCCCCAGGTTTCGTGTTGGTGAGATCGCTTTTTTCTTAAGATGTGAACACCCCGCTGATGTTGGAACTACGTGTGTTTTCATAATTTAAAGGTGATTTTCCAACTTCAGACTTCCACTCCCAGCGCTGATTCCCAGCACACCGACGTGACGCCGCTGCGGGCTGAGCCATGTTACGTGATACAAAATGTCCTGAGCTCCAGAGCAGAGCTGCTCCGTCTTACCCAGCTGCTCCGCAGTGTATCGCAGTCACTTTCTTTGATCACTTGCAATGTTGCTGAGGTGACACCGACAAAAATACTATTATGCAGAAAAGTGAGAATCGCTTTTTCCTCTTCTGACGGTTTCCTATGCAAATACCTCATTCCTGTGTTAGAAACCTTTTCATAGGTGTAAGTGGAGCAATAACTTGGAGTACTTACATATTCTTGCTAATACTGGGAGTCGAGCTGTTTTGGCAGGAGCTCCCAAGAAAAGGCAAAACAGCATGCATCAAGCAGGATTGGAATTTGGCAGAAATTTAAAATTGATGTGCATTTCTAGACATTTGTATACTCTGACAGCAACTTGAGACTTCTTGCCCTCTGGAAAGGACAGCTGGAGGTTCCAGAGCATCTTCAGATGACTTTAAGCCTGCAATTCAAAACACTGTAGATGTGAAACTGAAGATGCCTTTTCCAGTTTAGGAGTTTGTGGCTTCTCTCTGTTCAGTTGCTGTACAGCTCTTACCTACCCACGTGTTTTTAGTTTTTGGGGCAGCCAGTTCCTAGGAAACAGCCTTTGGATGTGGCTGATGCCAGCACAGAATAGCTGGGGTCAGAGGCTGCGCCCTCCCTGCCCAGCTGTGTCCTCACTGCCCAGCCTCTCATACAAGTGCTGTTTGGCTCAGAGCTGTGAGTGGATCAGATGCGATGATTCTTACTCTTACGAGCCCGCAGAGCAAAGAGCCAAGTCGGAATGAAATTCTTTCCTTTGTTAGCAGTTTGCATTCCCACTACAGTGTTGGCACCGATCCCTTGTAAATTTTAAGTGGAAGATTGTTTTTTGTCTGTTATATGCAGAGAGTTCATTTGATGTTTATACATCCCAGATAAGTCTTCAGAAAGTGCGAATACGTGCCATAAGCACCTCGGTGGTGAATCAAATTGAGAATGGCTTGGTGTTTTCAGGGGGCAGCTGGCACTGAATGGTGCTGCCCCAGTCCTGGAAAGGAGCGGTGAGCGCTGTGCGGGCTGGCTCAGGAAGAGGAGCTGTCCTGCAATCCGTGCCGGGGTGGTTGCTGCGTGCAGTGCCAGGTGCAGCACATCACTTCTGGCTGCTCTGAGGAGAACCCCACACGCAGATGCTTGAAAGCAAGCCAGCATTATGTGTTGTTTGCACGTTGCGTTGCTGAGATAGCGATTATTTATTGGTTTAGAAAAATAAATATTTTACATTCATAGATGACATATTCAGTAACACTTGAAAAATTAAGCATGAAATCATCCCCAGTCACAGGCTGGATAGTTGTTTCCCAGTTGGCAGTCTTAACTTTTTGTAAATAGATTACTTCCTAATCAGATCAGCTTCAATAATTACTTTGATTAAAGTCCTCTTAACTGTGGAAAATAAGAAGTTGTTTCATCTCACCTCATGATCCAGGGACAGCAGTCGTCAGGATGCTCTGGTGTAGAACAGTGAGCTGAGCATCAGGAAGCCCGAGGTGTATTTCCACCTCCAGCAGCACTGCAGGACACGTGGCCAGGTGTGTGTCCCCAGCTGCCCCTCCTGCTGCCCTCGTGCTGGCGGTGCTGAGGCCAGGACGGGCGGTGAGAAGCAAACATACAGCTGTCACGGGCAGAACTAACTGGGCAGCCACATCGATCTGTGCTGTATTGTGACCAAAAAGATGCAGCTCCTTATGGGCAAAGTTCGGCCCCATCCATTGGATCTGTGTGCATCTGGGTGAAAATAACCCCATGGCTGGTGTCTGGAAGGCACCTCTCTGTTCCAGCCGCTTTAATGAGCGCTCTGCCCATGATGAGGAGTGGATGCTCAGGTTGCTTGTAAGAGATGACAGAAAGGGAAGTTATCCCAAATGGTCCAAACTCCCTTCTGAATTCAGATGTCTTTTGTTAGGTGAGCAATCCAGTTAGAGGGCATAAAGCACTTCATAGTTTTGAATATAAAATATTGTATCAGTGTAACTTCAAGATAAGGATTGCGATGGAAATGGGCTTTATTGAAAGGAGCTGTTAACTCCACAGCATCTAGAAAGGAAGCCGTGTGCTTACCTACAGCAGTACAAGGCTAAAATAAATATCCTACCATTCACTGCTGATACACTAGGTGTATGTAGGAAAAAGTTACACAACTAAAACATTTGGGTTGGAATTTACCTACGTATGCAAATACATGCACCTATACATACAAACATGCAGCAGCAGCGCAGCACGTGCAGTATTATCAGCAGAGGAAGGCAAAGAAAGCAATACTGTAGGGCATGCGAGCATTTCTGAAGCCTCCCGTGAAAGAAAAGGAGCCTGCCTTGATTTAGGCTGTGTTTAAGGATGGCTAATTGAAGTTAGTAAATTAACAGGAGCTCGGATCAAATCAGAGCAGTTCTAAGCAATTTGGCTTTAGCTGTGCTGATTCAGTCTAAGTCATAACTCAGTTTACTTTAGGCCATTCTAAAATATGATTGCTTTCATTCAGCCTGTATTTTAGGCGGTGCTAATTAGAGGAAGGCAGGTAATTCAATCTCGGGATGAGGCTGTACCACAAGGGCTGCGCTGGCACGGCAATAGCCGCCTCGTTAGCGGTACAACCCTGCACAAAGGGGTTCCGTGTGCCAGCACAAGTCGCACTCGTGCTCACTAGGAGGCTTGTTGCTTTAGCTATGTTTGATTACAGAGAATCACCATTTCCCCATTGCTTTTCCATTCCTGCTGGCCAGAACAGCCCTGGTTGGACTGATGGCTGGGCACATTGGGGCAGGTATCCTCGGTCTGGCTTTGTGGGTACCTGTGTCTGCAGAGTGCTGAATGTGGGCACGTGTACATCTGTGCATCTCACTGCATTGCTGGGATCCTGCCTCACCCCCGGCAGTTTCCTCCAGGCTTG